CAATTCTGGACGAGGGGCACTGCCCTCCCGGGGCTGCTGCCGTGGGGCCGGGACCTGCTGAGACGCGGGCGCTCCGTGTCTCTGCCCCTCGTCCTCTCATCACCTTTCCCCGGGGGCCCCACGCAGGACCACAGCCAGGTCGGGGCTGAGCCCAGGCCCCGCCCGCCCGTCTGTGCTTCTCTCCAGGCCGGGAGGAGCCAGAGACGGGAGGACGTGGCAGGGGGGGGGCCAGGGCAGGCGGGGCTGCTCCAGCTGGCGGAGGTGACTTCACACCGCAGGAATGTCTGCCCCGGGGGCCAGCGCGTTGGGGGGGAGGGGCTATTCGGGGTCTCGGGAAGGGCCCTTGTCCTCTCCCCTGCGGCGCGTGGATGGGCAGGGCAGTCTGCGCAGACGACCGGGCTGGGGGTGATGCGGCTCCGCCAGGAGGGGGGCAGTGTCAGGCTCTGAATCCAGAGCCTGGAGGCCCCTGGAGAAATGAGTGATTTTCGGGTTTTATTAGCACCAGCGCCTGCCTGTTCACACACCTGCAGCTCTGAGGGCCCCGGGGTGGGGGCGCCCCGCCTGCGAGCCTCCTCCCGGCCCCCGTGTGCCCGTGACGGCCGTGCCCACACCCTCTCCTCACCCGCCAGCTCACAGCCCGGAGGGCACAGGCTCTGGGGCTGGGGGCTCTCGCCAAAGGGTGAGAGGGACAGAGGGGGAGGGGAGGCCAGGAGGGGAAGCGAAAGGAGCCAGAGGAGGGAGGGAGGGGCGCGGCCGGGTCTCAGAGCTTCTGCCCTACGGGGGTCAGTACCGGCCCAGTGGCCCGCGTGGCTGTAACCCCACCGGCCCTGCGGGCCGCCACTTGGGGTGCTGTGTCCTCAGACAGTCCCCACCCCCCTCCAGGCCACGGAGCTGAAAATAAACGTGTGTGCTCCCTTTTGTTCCCCTGAGCAGGGACGCCCTCCCCGACGGCAAGCCTGGGCGAAAGCGGAGATGTCAGCAGATAGAGAAGAGCAGGGCGCGGGGCCAGAGGGCAGCGGGGAGCAGGGGCGGCACCTGGGCCTGGAGCGGAGGCAGGCGGTAGCCTGCCGCCCGGCAAGGGGGGAGGAACCACAGCTGGAGGGGCCTGGCTGACTCCCCACCCCTAGCAGCCCCCCCAGACGGAGGCTCCGGGTGTCCCCGGGACATGAGTCACAGCGCGGCTGCCACGTCTGGGCTGGCGGCCCCACGCCTGGCCGCAGCGGGAGGACGGGGCTGGTCAGCACTGCCACGTGGCGGGCGGGCAGGGCTCACTCCTTCAGGGCGGGCTCCAGGCCTCGGCTCCAGAGGAAGTTCTGCCCGTGAGTGAGTGTTTCCAGGCCAGGGCTGGGGCGGCCACGTCCCGGCGCCCCCGGCCCTCCAGCCCCGCTGCGGGTTCACCCATCAGACACCCAGCAAGGCTGGGCTGGGCAGGCCTGACCAGGGCCGCAGCAGTGAGCGAGGGGGGTCTGGGGGCTCTCCAGCTGGGGCCAGGGCTGGGAGGCCCCACCTTCCTGCGCCTTGGTTGGCTTCTTCTTAAGACAAGGGCGCTGTGAGAAACGGCCTTTCCCAAGGAGTGCCTGCGGAACACGCGCTGTGTGGGGCTCACCCGGACATGCAGGGTGAGAGGCTGCAACTGGTTCCCTGGGGTCCAACAGGGCCCTTCTCTGCGGGACTTTCCAGAGCCTTTAATACCCAGAAACGTATCCGAACATGCACATGTCAGAGCTCTCCCCAGCGCCCCTAAACCCAGGACCCTGCTTTCCATCTGAGGGCCACACGGCGAGCTGGGCACACAGGTGCGGCCAGGCATGCTGGCACCACCTCACTCACCCTCTGGGGACCCCAGGAGTGGACACTGAGCTCATGACAGGCCCCCACCCTGCCAGGCCCAGCGTGGATGCCGAAGCTGGGCATTGACGGGCCTGGGGCTGCTGCTCCCGGGGGCTGAGCTGCTTGTAGAATGACACACAAGGCCAGACCCCAGCGGTCACTGTGTCTCCTCGGGAGCCTGCTCTCAGGGGCAGCGGGCAGGGCTGCCTCCCAGATGACAGAGGAGACAGTGGACGCCAGCCCGGCGTCCCAGGGGGCCCTCCCGGGAGGAGGCGAATGGCTCCAGGTGGCCACCCCAGGTTCGAGGCAGGCCCAGAAGCCCCCACCACGGGCGCCGCTCCGCCCCGCACAGCAGCTCATGGCGATTGCCTCAGCAGCTCTGGCCCAGCCGCCCGCCCGAGCCCCCAGCAGGCTCTCCACCCTGGATGTGTTCGGGTAACGGGACCCACACGGCTCTCCCGGGTCCGAGCGCAGCCGGCCTGGCTGGGTGCAGCCGGCTCCCCGTGGCAGGCAGTGCAGCTGGGCGTCCCCCCGCGCCCTGCAGACAAGGCGTGCCATCGTGAGACTGGGGCAGCACGTCCTTCGTGAAGGGGCACGGACCGCAGGCTGCCCGTGCCGCAGCCCCCGAGAGGACGCGGGGGCTCTGGGTATCATCCGCCTCCCATCTGGCAGTGCCTGGGCAGCGGCCACTCTGCCGGGGCCCAGGGCCACACGACAATGGGGTCATTGTGCCCCTCGGCCAGGGGCGGGGCGCCGGGAGATGCAGCCCCGGTCAGCCAGCAGCCTGGCGGAGGCGGGCACACAAGGGCTGGCAGACTCTTGACACAGGTCTGCTGGCCTGGGGCCAGCCCTCCAGGGCCCGGGGCAGGGCCTGCGCTGGGAAACCCCCGGCCTCGCGCCCGAACGCGGCTGGACCTTGATTTCCCGGCCTTTCGCCAGGGGTGTGGCCCGCAAGGGCAAGTGGTCCTCGGTCTCCCACAACCACGGCGGGCTCTGAGCGGACCCTCCCGCCTGCTCGCCGCGGGGGCCAGGTGGTGGGAACCAGGAGGAGGAAGAGGGCGAGACGGGCGTCCGAACCCGCAGCTGCAGGGAAAGCCGTGGAGTCCAGGGGTGCACCCCGGCCCTTCCCAGGGACGCTGGCGAACTTGCTTCTCAGGCCTCCGGGGGCCTGTCCTGCTCTGCTGTCCGCCCTGGTTACCTCTCCTTTCAGCTCGTTATCTGATCCCAGCAGGAGAGCTGCCAGCCTGGGGGAGGGCACCAGGCCGCCCTGGGCACCCGAGGCCTGAGGCTGCGGGGCGGGCGCGGGGCGGGTGGGGGTGACCACACTCCCAGCCAGCAGAGAGCAGGGCCAGCAGCTCACCCTGGAGGGAGCATGGGGGCAGGGCTCTGGAGTCCCTTAAAGCTGGTTCTCCTGGGGCGGGGCCTGGGCAGCCGGGAGGGCCCACCGCCACGTTGGCAACAGCAGGTCACGGTCACCCCACGTCCTAAAGGTCACGTGGCGGGGCTGAGGGTTGGAGGTGCGCCGAGTCAGAGCAGGACTCGTGCAGGAGGTGCGCCGTCGGAGGTGGGTGCTGTGTCACTCTGTACGTCCCGTCCATGACAGACGGGAAGGTGTGCGCAGGGCCGATGTGCTCAGGGGCAGCGTCTGGGAACAGGGCCGCCCCGCCCCGCCTCTCCTTCCTCCAAAGCCCTTCGGGGGCCTGGGGGGGCCGCCTCTCCTAGGTCAGCATTGCCCCATTTCAGAGGCTCCGGGGAGCTCTTACCGAGACACCCACCCCGCAGCGTAACTTCTGGGAGGGGAGCTGGCCTGGCTCGCCCCCCGCGCTCCCTGCCAGAGCCCCCACCTTCCTTCCCCAAGAGAAGCCTGAAGTCTGCATTGACCGGCGACGCCTGCGTCCGGGTGCGAAACCTGTGAGCGCATGTGTCCGAGCGGCGGGGCCAGGGTCCCAGGGGACGCTCAGCGCCCCGAGCTCCAGGCAGGGGGCCTGCGGGGCTCCGGACACGTTCCTTTGGGAGCCCCAGGGGACGGGTTCACAAGTGTGCACAGATGTCCACACCTTAAACTTCAGTTTCTTAGGCTTGAGGGTCTCTTGAAGGCCAGTGCTGGGCACTGCTCCCGGCGGCTGCTGAAGACACCCTCTCGGGCGAAGCGCAGAGCCCTGCCAGAGCAGGAGCCGGGGGCCGGACACGGCCTGGCATGGGGCTGGGGAGTGAGAGGACCAGGCCCAGGCAAACCAGGTGGGCGGTGAGCCCGCAGCGGGCAGGCCAGGAGCAGAGGGCCCGGGGCTGGGACTTCGGGGTGCCGAGGGCTGAAAGGCAGGGGTGTCGCTGGAGCAGGGAGGGCGGGGAGGAGGAGGATGGCAGGGGAGACAGAGCCACTCGCAGGGTGCTCCTGAGTGGCCTCGCAATCCCCCACATGAGGCCCACTGGACGCTTCAAGAGCCACCTCCTTCAGGAGCCCTCCCTGCCTGCTCCACCCGAGGCCGAGCCTCTGGACACCGCGATAAACTCAGTCTGCCCTGCTCAAGTGGGTGGGGAGCCCAGACGCCAGGCCAGGCGGGGGGTGGGGCCAGGTGGACGCAGCACCCCCACCCACAGCCCTTTCTCCAGGTCATCTTGGACAAGTGACTTGGCCCCGACCTCTGCTCCTCCTGCACAAACGCTAATCAGAGACTTCGGGGGTCATTGTGATGGTGCCAGGGGCCTGGGCTGCTGACCTCTGCCTCGCTGAAGGCAGGGCCCCTCCACATTCTGCTGGACCTGTGAGCTGGCCACTGGAGTGGCTCCAAAGCCACGTCCCGCACCGTGGCCGGGCTCCATGTCCTGTCTGCACACAGGGAGTCCCAGCCTGGCCCCCCTACACTCCTGCCCCGTGTCTGCCTGTCACAACAAGGCCTAGTGCCAGGGACTTGGCCAGTCTGCGCCCCAGCCCCACTGAACAAGAAGGATGCTGTTCTGGGGGTGCCTGGGCCTTTCCAGGCCTGGCACTCCGGGAGTCTGTTCGGGCAGCAGCCCGAGTCCATGAGGCGGGCGGGGCTGGGCCCCTGGTCGGGACGGCCCACAGCGAGAGAGGGAGAGGGCTGGAGGCCAGGCGGCCTGGCTGTGGGGAGGGGGCGGGGAGGAGGCAGCGAGGGGGCGGGCGGGAGGGGAGACAGGCCCAGCCCGCGCGGTGGTTTCCTGTCTCTAAAGCCTCACTCCCTGCAGCTCTCCAGACAGTCCTCAGCGCAGCTGCCGCCGCCGCCTCCTGCCACAGCCCAGGTATGCCCGGCCCGCCCGCCCTCGGCGCAGCCCCCACCGCCGCGCACCCTCCGGACCGCGGACCATGGCGAGGGAGGCCGCTCCAGCGGTCCCTGGCCAGAGGGCTGGCCGCCACTGCACTTTGGGAGGATGCAGGGTGGCGGCCTCGCGGGCATGCAGCCCCGGGGGCTCCCTGCGCCTGTGGGTCCTCAGGGGGCGCTGCCCACCCCCTCTGCTCTCTCGGCTCGCGGGCAGCCTCCCCTCCCCGGGATACGGAGCCAGCGCGGGGTGGACAGCTGCCCCTCGGGCACCAGTGTCTGGGCTGGCCCGGCCCGGCCGTTTCCTGACTTTGCCAGAGTGACAACTCGGTGTCTGGACACGGGGTGGGGGTGGGGGGCTGCTGTTCCTCGGAGACCCCCCCCCGCACACACCTGCATACACGCACACGTGTGCACACGCACCCGCGGACTCTGGGCCCACGCACACAGGCTGGGCCGCCCTGTCCCATCTGCCTCCGCTTATCTGGCTCTGGGGGGCCCTAAGGAGGTGGAGGGGCTGAGAGGGGGGTAGGGGAGGGTCCGGGAGACCTTCTCAGACCCCAACCCACCCTCGGTGGGTGCGAAGCCTTTTGGGGTGCAGGGTTTATTCAGACAGCCGGTGGGCGGGCTCCCTGGAAGCCCGCAGGACCGGTGAAGGGGCCTGGGAGAGGCAGGCCGCCAGGAAGCCCCAGACGCCCCCGGGCAGAGCACTCAGTGCAAGGGGAGGCTGCAGGCTGGAGCCACTGATCTCCAGGGTCTCTGCCCTCAGGGGTGAGGGAGGCGCAGAGGCTGCAGGGCCAGACAGCGCCCTATCCTAGGTAAGTGCCTGGCGCAGCTCCCGTCCCCACAGCATGAGGGTGGGACCTCGGGGCACCCCACAACGAGAGAGTCGGCCCTCAGGGCACCCCACAGCAAGAGGATCAGACTTCGGGTGCCTGAGGTCACCTGGAACTTTCAAAGGAAGGTCCTTTCTACAATGAGAACTCTGGACAGGCCTTCGAACGGCTCCAAGGCATCTGCAGGCCCGTAGTCTATGTAGGAGGCACGCTGTGCTTGTCCAGGGGGGCACAGAGACAGACAGAGCTAGAGAAACAGAGACAGAGTAGAGTGGCGTCCACAGCCTTGAATGGACGCTGGACGACCGGGTCCCACGGGGAGGAGCGAGCTCTGCAGAGGCTGCCACATCGACAGCCCAGAGGGGTGGAGGGGGGCCTGGAGGAGGGATGGAGCCACAGACTCCAGGCCCCACCCACGAAGCTCTGGCATGACTCAGCCAGGAGGAATGTGGTTGCCATGGTAACCTCCTCTTGGGGCTGGGGCTGGCCAGGAGGGACCCTGAACCTTCAGCAAGCTCAGGGGGTCGCCCCAGACACAGGACAGTCCTGGCCTAAGGCCTAAGTGCCCCAAGGTCGGGGAAGGGACCGAGCCTCAGGTCCACCCCTGCCCCCAGGGCACTGGGCATCTCCCTCTGAGATCCCAGGGGCCAGGGCAGCCCTCCAGGGGTGTGGAGAGAGGCCCTGCCCCAGCGAGGTGGGGATGGGGGGGGGCCTGGCCCCTCCAGCTTCTGGGGTCCATAGCAGTGCAGCCGGCGGGCTGCAGGGGTCAGCAGGGTACACTATGGGACAGGGTGGGCTCCAGAGCTCCCGGGAGGGCGCCCCTCCCGCGGGGAGAACCTGGCCTGGACCGCAGAGCCACAGGGGAAGCCCTGCCCACTGGGCCTGGGTTCCCGGCCCGCCGAGTGGGCAGTGAGCGGGCAGGCGTCCCCGCAGGGCAGAGTCCTGCCACGCAAGCCTCAGAGGCTGCCCTGAGGCTTGCCGTTGCAGGGGGGGTGGGGGTGGTGCATGTCCCGCCCCCTCTTTGGAAAGGCGGGGGAGTGGGGAGGGCCAGGGTCTGGGCGCGAAGCCTTAACAGTCTGGGCTTGCTCAGCCTTGGCGCCTGCTGTTCCCTGAGACGTGGCCACAGGTAGGAGAGGGGAAAGGTCAGGGCCAAGGACCCGCCTCGCCCCCAGGCCAGCGGGGGCAGCTCCCCCAGGTCGCACAGCCAGTTGAGGCCTGAGACCGCTAGGAGTCTGGCTACTATTTCCCCGCCCAGCCCTCAGGCTGTCTTTGGGCAGAGGTTGGCCTGGAGGCGGCTGCAGCTGCTGGCCCGTCCCTGCCTCCTGGAGGGAGGTGGGGCAGGCTGGAGGGGCTTCCGCCAGGGGGCCAGGCCGTCCTCCACAGCGAGGCCTGGACCCAGCCCGACCCCGAGCTCAGAGCAGCGGCCAGCAAGCCGCAGCCTGCCCGGGGCCCCCGGGAAGGGGCTCTCGCAGGCACGGGCTGTTCGCCCTGCTCCCTGGGGGCCGCTCTGGTCAGCGGCGCCGTCATGGCGTCAGGGCCACAGACTGAGCGGGGCAGTGAAGCAGGGCCAGGTCAGCCGTCGACAGACCACCGTGGAGCTCGGCCGCAGGCTTGCTGCGTGGCCCCGAGGGAGCCGATTCCCTCTGCCCGCAGCCTCGAAGCCTGGAGGCCGAGCGAGGGCCCCGTTGAGACGCCATTCGGCAGGAGGGCCTGGACCTGGGGGCCGGCCGTCCCGTCGCGCCTGCCCCAGCACGGTGGGGGCGGCGGAGATGCCACGTATTTGCTCCTTGGGGGCGGGGCAGCCCGGACACTTGCTGCTGTTTCTCGGCCCCTCGCTTGCAGCCACCCCTAGGGGGAGCCCGGGAGAGAGGCTGGGGGCCAAGGCTGCCGCTCCGAGACGTGGCACCGAACTTAAGGTTACTTTCTGCTGAGGTCACATTGGTTTACAAGACTGCCTGTGACTTAGGGGTACGGGGTCACCCCTCTTCAGATGCACGTGACCACACCCACTCACAAAGCCCCTAGTGCCCACCCTGTGTCCCCCCAACCCCCCCTCCTCGGGGGCCTCGGCCGTGCAGTCCGAGCTCCAGGCTCAGGGGGACGGAGTTCCTCTCCAGCAAGCCTGTGTGGCCTCAGCAGGCGGCGTCCAGCTTCGGACGCGGGGGCTCTGGGTTGCCCAAACACGCTGACCGCCCCCAAGGCCGAGGGCCAAGGCAAGCGGGGGTGCTCAAAGGCTTGGTCTGCGCCTGCTCGGGAGGGCAGGACTGGGTCAGTGGGTTGGGGGCGGGGGGCCCCACAGCTTTGCAAGGGAGCCAGGAGCCACGGGGGGTCCCGGCTGCATCTGTCCCTGGGGCAGTGGCGCCCGCTCCGCCCTGCCGCGTCTCCCTGGCTCAGGGCTGGTTTACCGGGAACGCAGCTCTGCTGCCCTGCCCTGGGCTTGGGGGTCTCGCGCAGACAGCGGGGAGGCGCTCGGCTTGGGCAGGGCCCACAAGGGCAGCCGTCTCTGCCTCCGTGGCCTCTGGAGGCGATGGTGTCCCTGGGGGTGGGGTCTCCTTTGTCCCACGGGCGCTGGGCGCAGGGAGCCTGGCGTTCTTGCCCTGACTCTGCTGGGGAAGGAGATTCTGCGACTGCAGGGCTCCCCACATGCTCGTGGGGCACCCTGTCCTCTTGGGGTACAGAGGGGAGTCTGAGGCCAGGGCGGGCTGAGCCCCGCGGGTTGTCAGTTGCTGGGGGCAGGGCAGGACGGGAGCTGCGCCTCTGCCTGACCACCCGCCTATGCAATGGGAGCCACGAGCCACGTGCTGGACGCCAGCGAGAGGCCATGCCCAGCCGGCTCTGTGGCCGTGTGGCCGGTGCTGCCCGTGGGACTTGCCCGCCCCGTGGGTTCTGGGTTTCCTGCTCTTCGGTCTAAGATTCCAAGACCGCGGTGTAAATTCTGAGGCCCCCACCCCCAGCTCTGCCAGCGGCACCCCGTGCCCAGGGAGAGTCCAGAGAGACCTTTCATGTGTGCAGGGGCCCCTTTGTGCCAGCGGGGCCGGTGGTACTTTTCCATGCCCGAGTCCTTCCAAGAGCCAGCCGTGACCTCGGCCGGGGCCGCTGGCAGCCAGGACGGATTCAGCCACCTCCAGAGCAAATAAAGGCCAAGGAAGGGACGCCGAGTCCAGAACTGGGGGCGCGGGGGGGCTGTCTGTGCCTCGACCACCCAGCCAAGAGAAACAGTCTCCTCCTCCCCCGGGCGCCTGGCCAGGGCCCTCAGGGGTGCGCCAGGCAGGGGTGCCGCCAAGGGCACAACGCGGGAGGTGGGGGGCCACCGGCCTCTTTGCCACCCACTCCTGGCTGCCTCGGCGCTGGGCCCCCTTCTCACCTGTGCTGGGGGACTGACCGGCGCCCCACGCCCCAGTGGGGTTCGGATCCTGAACAGGGGCGCACGGGAGCCTCGCTGGCTGGGCCCTTTATGCCAGGTGGTGTGTCCCCCTTGTCTGGGTCAGAGGCCAGGGATGGCACGGCCCCTTGTGCCTGCCAGACCCGGCTGCACCCACGGCTCCCCAGGGCGGCCTGGCCGGGGTCTGCGGGCTCAGACCTGCTGGTGCCCCTACACCTGCCCCTGGGAACAGGGCCGGGGCAGACCCCTCCTGGGAGGCCCTGTGGCCCTTGTCTTTCTGGATGCCCCACGCTGGCCTCTGCACACCACCCGGACGAGGCCCTCCCCACTCCACCACAGGATTTCGTGCCCCCACAGGACGGGGCTGGATGCTGCGGGAAGGCCTGGCGACCTCTTGACTGCAGACCCCATGAGGCACAGAGCTCCTGCCTTCCCCGCTCCTGCGGGGATGGCGATGGCGGCAGAGTGGGGGGTGCTACCAGCAGGCGAGGCAGGACAGGCGGCTGGGCAGGCCTAGGCCTGGTCAGGGGGGCGCAGCCTGCACTCTGAGGCAGCCCCAACCCCGGGTCTCCCACCCTTGTCCCCATGGAGGTGCCGGCACCTGATGCAATACGACCACCTTGTGAGTGGAGCCTGCCCAGCCGGCTGTCAGCAAACTCCTTCAGGGAGCCTGGCGGCCGCAGCACCCACCCCAAAAGTTTAGGGAGTGGAGAACGGGGTTCCGGGCCCTGCGGGGAGCCCTTTCCAGAGAAGGGGGGGCAAGCTGGGCATGTGGACAGGGAGGCTGACCCCGACGGGGGGAGCTGCCCGGATCTGTGCCAGCACCCCTCAGCTGTGAGGGGGAGGAGGGCACGGACAGTCTTTGGCCAGCTTCCCAGGGGCCGCAGGGGAGGCCTGCGGGTCCTGCGAGGAAGCTGCCCGCCCCCCACCCTCCCCAGGACACTGGCAGTGCTCCAAGACTATTGTTCTTTGTCTGGGATGTTTATCTCATTGTCTCCTGGGCCCGTAAGTTCCCTGGTTAAGGGGGCAGGGGCAGGCAGGACAAGGGGAGGGGTGTTGGGGAGCACAGTTTGGAGGTCTGGGAGAAGTGGCCCCAGGGGCCCAGGCGCTGAAGGGCCGCAAGGGCGGGGCCAAGCCCAGACCTGTCAGCACCTCCCCTCCCCTCCTTAAATGACTGAAAACCCAGGCGCAGGGGCCTGTGCAGCCCGAGTGGCGCTTGCGTCCCTGCGTCGTGGGCAGAAAACAAGCACCAGGGCCACAGCACTCGCCGGACGCCAGCTGCCGGCCTCCTGGTGGGATCTCAGCCCCTAGCCGGGGGGCTCCTCACAGGGCAGCTAGACGGGCCCCCGGGTCTCGCTGTCACCAACGCATCTCCCATGTGCCCCACAGCATTTCTCCGCCACTCACGCGACCCCCAGGGACCCCGCACCATGAGGGCCTGGATCTTCTTCGTGCTCTGCCTGGCCGGCAGGGCCCTGGCCGCCCCTGTGAGTACCGCCCTGCACCAGCGCTGGGTGGCCGCCCCCCAGCCGTGAGCCCAGGGGAGGGGAGCTGCCCGTGGGGACTTGGGTGTCAGATGACCTGTTCTTTAAGTGGCAAGTCAGGAGACAGATTGGGTGAGCACCTTTGGGTGGAGGCCCCAGAGAAGGCAGGTCTCCATCTTCCAGGAAGGGGGCTTGTGAGCTGGGGAGCTCCCCAAAAGGACAAGGGGTGCTTCTGAAGGAGGTGACCTGTGTTCGGAGGAGTTCAAGGTGGGGATGGTGCTGGGTCACCACGGAGGCACAGGCTGTCCCCCCGCAGGGCGCGAGGGGTGCAGCAGCAGGCTACACTAGGACCGAGGGGGTAGGATCAGGGGAGATGCTGGTGCCCAGAGGCCATGGGAGGACAGCACAGGGCAGCTCTGGGGGCCGGACGGGTCTGCCCACCGTTCGCACATCATGAGAGGTTGCGCCACAAAGGTCTGAAAGGTCCGAACCCAGGTCCCAGGCCGCGTCTGGGCCAGGCGGGCAGGCCCCGGATGGAGAGAGGAGGAACCAGAGCCTGGAGCAGAGGGAGGAGGAACTGAGGGAGGGGCAGGAAACTTGTCCAGCCTCCCGGGAGAGGAGACGGCGCTCAGGCCGCCGGGCGGGGGTGGGGCGGTCCCCCTTCCTCCCCAGGCACCCCAGCTGCCGGGCCCAGAGTTACATGCTGCCCCCCCCTCGAGCTGACACCCCAGTCCCAGTGATAACAGCACACCTGGTGCTGTTGGCGCAGCTCGTGGCCGCCCGGGGTCTGATGCCCCGTCTGCGGGGGCTGCCGATCTGGCCCCTCACTGCACGCGTGTGGGAAAGCGGGGAGGCTTTTCCCACATAAACTCGAGGGAGTGCCTGGACCTCTCGGCTCCTCGCCCCCACCTGCCACCACAGGGTCCCTAAGCACAGCCTGGGGTCTCCGCTAAGCTGCCCCCAGCCCTGGCGCTAGTGTCCGGGCAGGGAGGGCTGGCCCTGACCCGGGCGCCTCGCTCTCCCCGCAGCAGCAGGAAGCCCTGCCTGACGAGACCGAGGTGGTGGAAGAAACCGTGGCCGAGGTGGCTGAGGTAGGTGGGAGGTGGCCCTGAAGCCTGGCCCTGGCTCCGGGGGATGGGTGGGAACAGCCTCTGCCCCTCCCCGGTGTGAGTCCCAGAGCCACACAACAGCCTCCTGAAGCTTCTGGAACCTTCCACGGAAGGCTGCTGTTGGGGCAGGGATTTTGACAAGCTTTCTGTTTGAAGCTGTGGGATGACGTCTCGCACATAATCACCTGCGGCCAGACACACAGGTCCCGGGGAGCTGCTCTGGGGGGCTGGTGGGGGGCTCAGTCCTGCTTTTGCCCAGACACCATGGGGCCTCGAGACTGCAGGCACCACAACGCCACAGGGTCTGTAGGGTCAGCTGGTTTCCTGGGCTCCTGACCTGGGCAGCACCCTCTCCCAGTTGCCTGTCACCTTCCCACATCCTCACCCCTTTCTGCCAGCTCTGCGATGGGAGGACCTTTGACTCCTTCTCCCTCCTCCTAGGTGCCCGTGGGGGCCAATCCCGTGCAGGTAGAAGTAGGAGAATTCGAAGAAGGTGTCGAGGAAGCCGAAGAGGAGGTGGTGGCCGAAAGTAGGTCCCTGCCCCAGCCCGGCTCTGCCCCCGTCAGGATCTACCTCCCTCCCAGCTCTGCCCCCTGGCCCCATGCTGCCCCCTGCCCTGCGCCACTCACGTTCCCTCCAGGAAGCTCAGGCTGGGGCCTCCCCGCAGGTGCACGGTGTTGACCGGAAGGCTTCACTCTGCGGCCTCGGTCCCCTGGAGACCAGGACACGTCTCCAGAGCAGGCGAGAGGGCAGGGCCTCTGGTGGCCAAGGCCTCCTGCTGTCCCTCCCTTCTCTGGCTGCCGAAGTCTGGCTTCACGTCCCCATAGGGCCAGTCACCGTCACCGGCTGCGCTCCTGCCTGGCTCTGCCCCGGGCCCGCCGCACGCCTGGGCCCCACTCCTTAGCTGCTTAACCCAGCTGGGAGAAGTAAGGCCAGGACCCCCACCAAGTTAGTGCCAGGGACAGAGCGCTGACTGGGTCCCATGCCCCCACGTGGCCTGGCATCTCCAGCCCACAGGAGACTGGCCACATGCCCTCTGGGGGGCAACCAGCCACGGTCTGCACCTGACCGCTCCCTGCCAATGGACACTCGCTCCCTCCTGACCCGCAGTCTCCTCTCTAACTCACAGCTGCGGGGGTGGTTGAGAAGCAGCAGAGGGCTCTGGGCGCCTGCCCAGCAGGGTGCATCCTTTAAAGGATGACTCAAGGCCGGATCTGGGTCAGGGAGGCCAGCGCAGGCCTCGTCCTGCAGATCCCCGGTCCTGCTGGGGCGGGGGCGTCTCTGGCTCCAGTTCCTTCCCGCACACCCGCCCATCCGGCGCTGTCCGGCCCCATTGTTCAGTCTGGGCTGTCCGGCGCGTCCTCCACAGCCTCTCAAGCCAGCTCTGTGGGGCCCCCAGCCCCCTGCTTCCATGGCAACAGCCTTCCCAAGTCATTCCAGAAAGTCACCGGAGAATCCAGAAATGCCTCCCTCTGGTCAGGGACAGCCGAGAGCACCCGTGGCTCCCCTCAGGGCTCACCACGGGGCACCTGTGTGCCAGGTCCAGTCCGAGGCCCCGGGTCCCCAAAGTGTGCCTGACTCCGACCTCAGGCCAAAGCTCTAAACCCCAGACCAAGCAGACGGCTCCCCTAAATGCCGACCGCTGAGCTCAGCAGAAGAGAAGGGGGGTGCTCTGGGTGGCCCAAAGCCGGAGCCGGGCAGAGGCCCCCGCTGAGAAGGCGTCTGGAGCGGCCGGGCCGTGTCCCAGCCAGGGGGGCTAACGTCCCGCCGTGCCCCCACAGACCCCTGCCAGAACCACCACTGCAAGCACGGCAAGGTATGCGAGCTGGACGAGAACAACACCCCCATGTGCGTGTGCCAGGACCCCACCAGCTGCCCCGCCCCCGTCGGCGAGTTTGAGAAGGTGAGAGTGGGGGGCAGGTCTCGGGCCCTGACCTTCAGAGCAGAGCTGCCTGCGGGCGGGGCGGGGCAGCCCGAGCCCAGCCGTCCCTCACGCCAGGGCGCAGCAGACAGGAGGCGGGCGGGTGAAGCCCATCTGCCCCCCATCTCTCCAGTGCACTGGCTCCCGCCCCCTGTGGGACTCAAGAGCCGCACCAGGCACTGCTTCGCGCCTCTGGCCACGCGTCAGGTCCAAAACCACGGGTCAGACTCCAGGATGAGGCCACGCCCAGCTCCGGAGCCGTGACATCTGGCTCGGTGGCTGCGCCCCTCCCATGCAGGGGGCAAGGAAACAGACTGACCCCACAGCCTTGTTTGGGGCATTGTTGGCGAATGTCTGGTTCTTGGTACCACCCGACACGTGGTATTAGAAAAAAGTCCTTCAAACCTGTTCGTTCTGACTCCGTCAGGACTTATCCACCCACCCACTCCCCCGCCCGACATCCATCCCACCATCCACTGGCACATCCGTCCACCCATCCTCCAGCCACCCGCCATCTACCCACCCATTTGCAACCTGCCCGTCCACACATCGAATCATCCATCCAAGCAAAGCTGCGCTGAGCACCAGTTCTGCCAGCCGCTGTGCCAGTGGTAGCCTAGTTGGGGCAGCAAATCCGGTACCCGCATTAGTGCACAGTCCACTGTCTGGATTCCCCATCTTCAGTCTCTCCCCAGTACACCTTATCCTCAGGGTGTCACGTTCGAGCATCACTGTCCACTCTTTCCTCCCCTGCTCCCCGGCCCCTCCCCGTTGCCGGTGCCCGGGAGTGCTCCTTCGCGGTGACACACGCAGTACTAAGCGTGTGCCCTGGCCGTCAGCTGCAGGCTCTCCTCCGCTCCTCACTTAGTGCCCCGCCTGGTCCAGCCCCGGCTCAGCCCACGGTGTCCTGGGCCCTGGGAGCTGGAGGGCTCACGTCACACACATACCTGTCCTTGCTGCTAGGGGGTGACGTGACCTGCTAAAGGTGCACGGCTGGGTCATAGGGCGCAAGGCACAGGGAGGGGAGACCCCCCAGATGCATCTGCCCACTCCCCCCAGCACGGAGGCCTCACGGGCCAGCGATATTCCTGACCAGCAGCCCCCTGGATATTCAGCACCTGAGGTTTTAACTGGGGGCTAGTCACTCGGTACCCCTGCCTAGAGTGTACCCCAATTCCAGATCCCCACAGGAAAGCATAAGTCCAATGCACCCCAGGTTGCTTTAAAGCTGCCCTGGCATGGGGGGCACCTCTGTCATGGGTGGAGCATTTAAGGAGGTGCAGGACCTCCCTGCCACCAGCCGCCGGCTCACAGGGGGCCTAACTCCCCTGCCCTGGCTCCAGTCTGTCCTGCTCACGTGGTCTGTCCCCCGCCACCTGCCTCTGGGCAGGGGCCAGCAGGGACACTGGGCAGGCTGCACGCAGGCCTGGGGGCCCAGGGAGGGTTCCTGTCCAGTGCCCCCCAACCCCCTCTCCCACTGGCTCAGGTCCCCATCTCTGGGATGGCAGGACTGCCTTGGGGAGGGCTCTGGAGTGGGGTTCGCAGAGCAGGGCTCCTGGAATGAGGGGGTCTCTGCTTTGCTGGCAGGTTTGCAGCAATGACAACAAGACCTTCGACTCCTCCTGCCACTTCTTTGCCACCAAGTGCACCCTGGAGGGCACCAAGAAAGGCCACAAGCTGCACCTGGACTACATCGGGCCCTGCAAATGTGAGTCCCAGGCCCTCGCCGGCCCTGCCACCCCGCGCAGGTGCTCAGGGAACGCCCCCGACCCCCGGACAGCGCGAGGCCCAGGCGTCTCTGGAGCCTCTGGCCTGCATCCAGACCGCCCATCAGCCCAGGCGGACCCTCCGCGCCAAGCCCCTCTGGGCCTGTAAAGGCGCCTTACAACTTTTGGATCGCATGCTTGAAAGCGGGGCAAGCGTCAGTCTCCCGTCCCCAGGCCCCTCATGCCCTGGCTGTTCCCCACACGCCTCACTGCGGCCTCTCCCAGAAGCAGTCAGGTCCCCTGCACTGGCGAGGAGGGAGGTGTCCTTACCACAGACGGGGCTCCCCAAGGGCCGGGCCGGATCGGCCCCGCACCCAGCCACACACCAGCAAGGCTCCCGGCCACCCCTCTGACCACGGCCACCTGGGCAAGCCCACTCGCGGGTGGACGGGGTCAGCATCGCTGAAGGTTTCTGGAGGCTGGTGCCCCCGCTGGGCCGGTGGATGGAGGCCATTTCCTGGCCCCACCTTCTGGCCCCCCGCGGTGTCATCAGCGGGGGACCGGGGCCACCATCCAAGTGGGGTCCCTGGGGAGCCCTCCCTCGCGGAGCTGGCGTGTGCTCTCCACACGGCCCCCGTCCACCGAGTCTGAGGGCACCGTGGACTAGAGGCCAGGCGGCCGGCCCAGGTCCCCGCTGGCGGTGGCGCGGGAGGGGCAGGTGGGTCCAGCTGAGCACCTGTGCTTCCGGCCTAGACATCCCCCCCTGCCTGGACTCCGAGCTGACCGAGTTCCCCCTGCGCATGCGGGACTGGCTCAAGAACGTGCTGGTCACGCTGTATGAACGGGACGAGGGCAACAGCCTGCTGACCGAGAAGCAGAAGCTGCGGGTGAGTGTCGCCTCCCCCAAGCAGTGCCGGGCCCTGAGCGGGACCCCTACAGCCCCTCCTCGCCGCCCGTGCCACCCTGTTCAGGCCCTGGCACGCTGAGGGGCCCCAGGTGGCCCGCAGCCTGGCTCCCACCACAGTGGGTCGAGCCCGGGAGCATCGAGCAAACAGATCCCGGACCCCAGGCAGGCCCGGAGGGGTGCCCACAAGGCCCCGCCAGGAAGACCCCGGCGCCCGGCCTGGTCTGGGCCAGTGGGCGGGAGCTGGGCCGGTCCTCGCCGCCCCTCGCTGGCTCCAATCTGCGGGCACCGTGCCGGCCGTCTCTGGACCCTGTGGCCCTCCCCCGCAGGTGAAGAAGATCCACGAGAACGAGAAGCGCCTGGAGGCGGGCGACCACCCCGTGGAGCTGCTGGCCCGGGACTTCGAGAAGAACTACAACATGTACATCTTCCCCGTGCACTGGCAGTTCGGCCAGCTGGACCAGCACCCCGTGGACGGGTGAGACGGCTGCGTGGGGCCCAGGGCTCCCCCAGAGGCTGGCCTTGCTCTGTCCAGCTGGCGTGCCTGGCCTGCCCCCCCTGGTGCTGGTGGCCGGGGCCTCCTGAGCCTGGGAAACTCCCGGCCGCATCTCTCCCAGGCTGGGATCTGGCCGGTCTGTGCCTGTGATGGGGGGCCTGTCCTCCCAGGGGTGTCCAGGGGAGGGGAGCCTGCAGCTTCCGGTCAGAGACACAGCCAGGCCTTTCCTGCGCGGGGGGCAGGCTGCAGGGACAGTCCGAGTCATGTTGCAGCCCCCTGGGGAAGGAAGGGACACTGGCCCATGCACTCTGGGCTCGAGGCCAGCGGCGCAGTGAGGGCAGAGGGAGGGGACTCAGGGCCCTCTGCAAAGTCCAGGCTCTGGGGGGAGGCCGGCCCTACCCCGCCCCCAGGCAGCAGCGGCAGCATCTCCGTGTCTCGCCTGGACCCCGCGGGAGCACGATGACCCCGCGCTCATGCACCCTGTGCCGTGCAAAACTGACCGGCCGCGGGGGTTCCGGGGCCCACCCTTGGCCACGAGGAAGCCACGCAGGCTCGGTGTGGGGCTGGACTCAGCAGAGGGGCCCCGGCAGCCGGCCAGCTCTTCCCCCAAGGGGAGGGGAAACTGAGGCTCAGCGGGGGCAGCGCTGAACGCCCGTCCGCACCCCACAGGTACCTGTCCCACACGGAGCTGGCCCCCCTGCGCGCTCCCCTCATCCCCATGGAGCACTGCACCACCCGCTTTTTCGAGACCTGCGACCTGGACAGCGACAAGTACATCGCCCTGGACGAGTGGGCCGGCTGCTTCGGCATCAAGGAGCGTGAGTGCCCGCCCCGCCCGCCCCTGCCCACTTAGCTCCCGCTGTGCCCGCGGCTCCCCGGCAGCCTCCGGCCTCCTGCTGCCCCGTTCCCCTTCCTCCAGCAGCGCTGGCTCCGGCGCCAGCTGTTCTGGGGCTGGCCGGCACCCAGAGGGAGGGGGGCGTGGGGAGCGGCGGGGCCAGGCCCCGGCCGGGGGGACGCGCCCCTGTCGCCCACTTCCTGGCTCGCCGGCGCGGGTGGGGCGGCGGGTCTCCGCGCGCCTGACTGGCCGTCTCCTTGCAGAGGACGTCAACAAGGACCTGGTGATCTGAGTCCGGCCCCGCAGAGCCGCCCCCCGCCCCCACCCCCGCCCACGCCCCCTTGTTTAAAATGTCTGGATGGTTTGTGGTTCTGCCTGCACAGGTGCTAACATAGAGCTAATGAACACGCTAACGGTGCTACAGCGGAGGCCGGAGCCAGCTCTGGCCGCCGTCCCCGCCCGCGGCCCGGCTCCCCCAGGCCCGCTCTGACACTCTCCTCGCATCGCCTCTGCCGACTGAGGCCGGGCGTCCGCTGCCCTGCCCGGGCCGCCCGGTGCGCTCGGGACGTGCTGGGGCCGGGGCCCGCCCTCCACGCCCGCATTTCACATCGGGCTGTTGTCCACACTTCGGTGAGCGGGAACCCCAGATCCCCGCACTCACGAGGCCTCTGGGAGTGGATCTGCCCCCGGTCGGCCTGTGGGACCCTAGGGCTGGGGTGCAGCCACGGCGGCAGAGCACAGCAGGCTCGCTGGGGGTTCAGCCAGGCGTCCCCCGGGCCCCATCCCCTGGCTCCCGGCACCCCCCCCTCCTTCCTGCCAAGAATCGAGAGAATCTCCAGCGTGAACAGGATGGTCGAGCTCCCAGGCTGAGAACCGCCGCCTCCAAGCATTTCATGAGAAAGCTGCTCCTCATCCTCGGCGACCCCGAGTCTGACAGATCTTTCAAATAAAACGTAACGACTTAGAAACGGCCCCGAGAGTGATTCTGTCTGTGTCTGCGTCACCTCACTGCGGGGTGCCCCACGCGTGTCTGCACCGGGTGTGCCGGCCGCGGCCAGGCTCTCCACACGCCGCCCGCCCGGGGCCCCGCCGGCTCCTGCTGCCCAGACCCACCTCCTCTGCCCTCCACAAGGAGCCGCGGGCTGTGACCGCCCCATCTCGTGCGTCTGTCTCGCCTCTGCTTCTGTCTCTGTCTCTGTCTTGCTCTCTGGCTCACGGGCCGCCTGCTTGTCCCCTGGGCTGACAGCTGGGGGGCCCCCTGGTCATGCAGGGACCGCAGGGCCGCGGCGCTACTGGCAAGGCAGACTGGGAAACGCCAGGCTCGGGGTGCAGTGGCCGGGGGTGGCGGCCAGCGGGCCAGGAAGCAGGCGCCGCATGATTAAAGTTCATTCACATGACAGGCTCAGTCACGCCGGACCCTTTCCAAGGACTCAATGGCCCTGTGGCCGGTGGTCACCGGCTGGGAGGACAGACCCTCGGTCAGTCACCGCAGTTCTGGACAGGGCGGGCCCGGGCTTCCTTGGGAAAGCCAGCTGGCCGTGAAGGAAGGGAAGAAGTCGGGAGGGCGGGCTGGGGAAGAGCCTTTCAGGGGAGAGGCCCTGGGGTGCAAAGGCCCTGGGGTGAACAGGAGCGCTGCCCCAGCGCAGCTGGAGACGAGACAGCTTCAGGCCCCAAGGGCGAGGCCGAGGACGTGCGGACGGCTCCAGGCCGCGCGAGGACTCTGGGTTTTATGTTGTGTGCAGCGGGATTCTGAAACCAGAGAGAGGATTAGCTTTGCTCTAAGGTGAGCTCTCCGGCCCAGAGGACAGGGCCCTGGGCTCCCGCCTGTCCACGCTGGTGTCCCCAGACGGCCCCGGGGCCGCGGGGAGGGCGCCAAGCCCGCTGCCGTTCTCCTCCTTCTCTCATGCGAGGTCACGTTCCGCTGACTGAGCTCGTACAGCTCGTGACAGAGCGAGCTTGGTCTGCGTTGCCTCTTCCGCACAGCAGGGGAGAGGTGGCCGCTGCCCCGTCTCCTGCCCTTTGGAGACAGCGGGGAGCTGGATGGGGGCGCGCTGCGGCCCCGGCTCATCCAGCCACACGGTGGTCACTCAGTGCCCAGGGCCGTGCAGCTGTGCCCACACAGGGTAGGCGCCGCCCGAGAGGCGGGTCCAGCGGGGCTGCTGGAGCAGGGAGGCCGAGGGGCGCTGAGGCTGGGCTCGGGCGCCCGGGACTGGGCCTTGGTGAGCAGGGCTGTCAGTTGGAGGCTGTTGGAGCGGGAGCTGGGGCCAGGGGGCTGAGGGATGTGGTCTTGCGATGGGCTGTGAGAAAAGGGGGGCTGGAACTGTTGGGGGGTGGAGTCCACAGAGCCTGTATGGAATTAGCTCAGGACATCCTTTCCCCAGAAAGATTTTATTTCCCTATTTTCTCCCTGAGCTGTACATTTCCTCATTTCCCCTTCCCTTGTAAGTAAACCTTTCATGAACCTTTTGTGTGCGCCTGCAGCGGAGTGTTAGTAAGTCCTTTCTAAGCGCGCAGGTGAGGACCCACAGCCAGGCACCCCGTTTTATATCGGGGCTGCCCTGTAACAGAACCCAGCACTTGCTCCCCCACCTCTGGAGGCGGCATCTCTCAGACCAGGCAGCACCAGCGGGTGACAGGAGCCTGAACTGGCCCAGGGCCCCAGGAGCCAGGCCCCCAGGACAGCACTCCCCAGCCACCCCCGGGGCGGGGCGCTCCCCTCCCCTTAAGCCCGTCACACTCTGGCTGCAATGCCCTTGCAGGCCAGCCCTCGGGGCCTGGGGCGGAGCCGGACTGGCCCCCTGGAGGCGTCTCCCTCAGGAAACTGTGCCAGCCAGAGCTGGGGCCAGTGCCTCCCCCCTCGGTGCGCCCCACCTGGCAGGGGCCCCGCGAAGGAGGCGCGGGGGTTGGGACAGCAGAGGGGGTGGCCGGAGGACAGCCTGTGGCTGCCAGCCCCTGGGCCGCTGCTCTGCTCTGGGTCAAAGAACAGCGGGTGGACGCAGTGACCGGCCATGAGTCACAAACGAGACCTCTAAGAATAACGGACTCCGAGACCCAATCGGAGCAGGCCCTGAAGCCAAAGTCAACACGTCCTGGCAGCCGGGGTGCAGGCGAGAGTGTCATCTAGAAAACAGGGACCTGCAACTCGGAACCCCGGGTTGGAGCCGCCCACCGGTGGAGCTGAGGGGAGGGGAGGCGGTGCCCCTGCACCGTGGGGCCTGGGTCGGATTCCAGGTGCTGTCCTGAGTTCTGGAGCGGGGGCCGGGGCCGGGGAGTGGGTGGATTTTCCTCCAGTGTCACAAGGAGTCAGAAAGCGACGGTCCGTGGGCCTCCCGGTGGCGCAGCGGTTGAGCGCTGGGTTGCGAGGCTGCCCGCAGCCTCTGCAGCGCCGGTTCGATCCCCGGCTGCTCCCCGGCCACAGGAGGAGGGTCCCACATGGCGCGCAGACCTCTCCTGCCGCCCGCTGCTCCCCTCAGCAGTGTACCTCAGTCCGTCTGCCTGCTCTGCTCCCCGCTCTGGCTCTGGTGAATTCTCTCACCCTCCCGCGCTTCTGACTGTGCCCAGTGCTTGTGTGAATAAATAAATAAATCTTAAAAAAAAAAAAAAAAAAAAAAAGAAAGCGACGGTCCGCGTCGCCATCACGAATCCACGTCGGAGGGGACTGTGTAAGGACCTGGGAGGTGGGGACGCGCTGCCCCCCGCCTCCGCCGGGCTGGGGATACAGGGAGGTCTGCGAGCTGGGGCCGGCGCCCGCCCGGGGCCCCCGGGACAAGGAGTTGGAGCAGCGGCCGCAGGCAGGGGACCGTCCTGCCGAGCGCCGGGCTGGGTCACCTGGACTCTCAGCTAGAAGAACATTTCAGGACTGGACCTGGTCAGCCAGTCCACCCGGCGGAGAAGGAGCTCTTCGCGTGGACGCCGAGAGGCTCGAGGAGGCGTCTAAACGCCTTGGAGACGGACGAGCAGAGCCCACAAACGCCGCGTGATCACAGCCCCGGGAGACCCAGCGACGAGCAAACGGAGACCAGCGGGGCGCGGCCGGCTGGCGGGGAAGCCGCTGAGATGTGGGTGAGGGTGGGCAGCCCAGAGGGTGGCGGGCCTATTGGGGTGCGCCCAGCCCTCACGAGCAGCTCTAGGCGGCCATCGGCGACCCGCCATGGGCACCACCTTGCTTGAGAGGGCCGAGGGTCATGGGCGGTGTGGGCTCCAGCGGCGGCGAGTGCCGTGAAACAGCACAGCCCTCGGCACGGCGCCGAGGGGAGCGGCCTCACATCCAGCCACCTCGAGAGAATGTGTCCAGGAGTCAGGTGGCGAGCACATGGGCCCTTGTGGGGTGGCTCCCGATGCCCCCCAGGGCCTGAGTGGGGAACAGCATGGGCAGCAGAACACAGGGGGACCCGTTAGCAGGGAGCACGGCACGGAGAGCCGCGGGTGAGCGCCTCGGGACCCAGGGCCGGTGTCACATGTGTCTGTGGCTTGGAGCTCCCCGAGCACGGAGAATGTGCACTTGGCGTGGGCGTGCCGGGGGCCAGGCCCCACCCTGCCAGAGGTGGGCGGACGAAGCCCGAAGAACCCACTAGTGTTCCGGGAAAGGCAAATCGGAGGGGGTGTCTCGGGGGGCTGTGTCTGGGGTGAGAGATACAAGACAAATAAACTGAATACAGAAAGGGGGAGACCCCAAGAAATTTTGCCATGAGTGTCTCTGTTGAAAAGTGCGACCAGGGCCTCCCTGGTGGCGCAAGCATTTAAGCACAGCACTGTGAAGCTGTCTGAAGTCTTTGCAGCATGAGTTCGGTCCCTGGCCAGCCAGGGAGCTACTCACATGGCGCAGCAGACCTCTCCTGTCTCCCCGCTGCTCCCCTCAGCAGTGGATTTCAGTCCTTCTGCCTGTTCTGCTCCCCGCTCTGTCTCTGGGGAGTGCTCTCACCCCCTGCACCTCTGGCCTGCACCCCAGCTCTTGTATGCATAAATAAATAAATCTTTAAAAAAAAAGTGGGACCTGACTCTTCCCTGAGAACTCGAGACGTTTCAGAGGTGCATGGTTTCAGACGGGCTGGAAATACGCCGGCAGTGTGAACAGAGAAAGATTCTTGGAATAAGAATGTCTAAAAAGATATATAGATTCCAATATTTTATACTCGAATAAAATCAGAAGCCATTCACTTCAGCTGCAATCTTTTTCATGGATGTTTAGGAATTAGCATAATTTCAAAACTTTTTACTACCTTTTTATTTAAAATAAAAGTGAACGCTGCCTTCTGTATTGTTTCTACATCGGGGTCAGTCTTTAAAGGATTTAAAGCTTGCTGGGTATCGGAGACAGTAGAAAGATACTGTTAACAAAATTAATTAATTTCTATGATACGAAATGAACATTTAGAGGAAATTACTTCACGACCTTAGGGGGAAAATCAGCGAGCCCCGCCGTGAGGAGACAAGACCTCAGAGACACTACAAGCAAAAACACAAACACCGTGAACACGTGTCGGCCATGGCCCAAAGCTGGGCTCCTCTCCTGCACAGGGGGTGAAAGGGCACCATCCTCAGAGGCCCTGTGACTGCTGGCCAGGCTGTCCACATGGGCAAAGGACAGGCCCGCCCCGGCCTCACAAGCTGGTCTCCAGCGCGTCGGGGTGCAGGAGGGGCCTGGCCCTGGGGGCTGCAGAGGCGGGTCCGGGCGCCCCCTGGTGGGCACGGGGGAGGGAGGCGCCCAGAGTGTGCGCGGCTGCCTGACCCCCGCACCCCGGCTGTACAGCCTCCTGGTCCAGCCCCTCGTTCTCCAAATGGGAAAACTGGGGTTCAGAGGAGTGGAAGACACTCTCCCAGGCAGGGTTTCCGGAAAGAACCCAGGGCTTCCAGCAAAAAATCTGAACTTCAGATAAGCAACCAGGAAATGTTGTTTGACCATGTTGCACGCACGCTTTAGAACAAGCTTGTTTCAGAAAATCCTTCACTGAGCTTCTGAAATTCAAGTCTGA